GTCTTTCTATTCAACCATTTATATTTCAGTCATAAAAATGCATCTAGTTCTTACCAACAAAAGATTTAGTATTTCTAAATAAGGAATAATATCTATTTTCTGTTGATATCATTGCAAACTTTGCTCAAAACTTAAATTTTACAAAATTCATCTAATTAGACATTGTATATTATTAAATTGAAAACCTACTATTTTAAGTTTCTTTAATCAAATCACCTTCTTTATCCAAGCCAATACTATTATTTCAAAAATAAGAGAGAGGGAGCAATCTTTTTTGGGGAAAAGATGAGAGATCTTACATGAGAGAAATGTTTACGTCTTCGTAATGCATTTTATCTTAAAATGATGTAGGTTTTATAAATTTTATTAAATTAACTGACGTGGTTTAATATAGGTGGTAGATATATCTTAATGACATATGTCATTATATAAAATATTCAACTTATGGTAACTTAGAGGATCCAAGTCCATGTTTGGCAGGCATGAAATTAAAATTTTGAAATTGAAATTGGTAAAATTAGAAAAAAGTAATTAGAAAAATTAAACCAAAATTTTTTCCAACTCCGAATTACATATTTCAATTCTATGTCCCCAAATACAACCTTAATGTATTTGAAATATTTTTTCAGTAGACTTATGAATATATTATTTGTGACTCCTTATAACATGCTACTAGTTACCAAGGAAAAATTGTGTTCACAAAGTTAGATCTATTGCCTTTCCTTACATTTATTAAAACTAAAAGAAATTAGAAATTCATTATTTATTATGACATTAAATAATCTTATGTGGACATTTATTTTGGAATATATAAAGTTTTATTTAGGAAGCACGGACATTTCTACTAAGGAGCCATACTCATGTCGTACTCGTGTCGAACACCGACACTCCTCAGATACTCATCGAATATGCGTCCGACACTTTATATATGTGTTTATCAATAAAAATTAATTTTATTATTTTGGACACTTCGTCCATACTTTCCCGACACTTTCTAGACATTTTTAATACAAGTTTACCCCAGTTATCTTGGAAATAATATGAATACTATCATAACAAAGCAGTGAAATAATGGTATATATGATATAAAAATTAATACAATAATGACATAATTTCATTTTCTAATTCATTTCATAGTAACTTTTAATATAGAAATTACAAATTAATTAAAGTTTTATAATACTATTACTGAATAAATGTATAAAAATAAACTGAATAAAGGTATAAAAATAAAAATTTATATTTATATGTAGCCGTGTTCACGTCGCACTCGTGTCTTATTTTTAAAAAAATTTGACGTGTTAATGTATCAGTGTCATATCGTGTTTGTATCTGTACTACATAAAATTCTATTTAATATAAATAATTAAGAAAGAAAAAGGATTAATCTAACAATATGGTATTCAAAAGAAATAAGGTAAAATATAATTACACCCCCTGAAGTTTGATAAAAGGACACTCAGAGGAAATTTGCCTGTTTTTGGACAAAGATACCCCCTGAAGGTTCAAAAATGGATAAAGATACCTCTTTACATGAGAAATTGACCAAATTATCCTTTGACCATTTAGGAGATTTTTTTAACTTTACAATTTAATAAATTGGACCAATCTACCCTCATAAACAATTTATGCATAAAAAATAATAATAATAAAAAAAACTTTATATTATTCACTTTTTTTTTTTTACTTTATAAATATCCCAACTTCTTTAAAATGTAGATGTTTAAAATGATTTTTTTGATCCAATACATATATTTCAAATAAATTATATTTTCTTATTACTTATTTTCTTTTTCTTTTTTATTTTAAAATTAAGATGCTTAATTCTTTCCTCTAAAAAAATTAAACCAATCTTTTTTCCTTAAAAATAAAAAATAGTGTACCATTATAACTTTATGCATCTTAAATTATATATGCATTTCCTAAAATAAAAGGGCACAAAAAAAAAATAATAAAAAAACAAAGGGAAAAAAATAATAATAAAACAAAAGAAAAAAATAAAAATAAAGGCATGCATAAAGTTATACTGGTACCTATTTTCTTTTATGTTAGGAAATGCATAATATTTGATATATAATTTAAGATGCATAAAGTTATAAATATATTTAAGATGCATAAAGTTAAGATGCATAATTTATGTTGGAAAATGCATATATAATTTAAGATGCATAAAGTTATACTTGTATCATATTTTTTTATTTTTAAGGAAATGCGATTGGTTTAATTTTTTTAAAGGAAATAATTAAGCATCTTAATTTAAAAATAAAAAAGAAAAAGAAAAGTAGTAATAACAAAATATAATTTATTTGAAATATATGTATTCGATCAAAAAATCATTTACATTTTTAAGAAGTTGGGACATTTATAAAGTAAAAAAAAAAAAAGAAGAAGAAGAAGAAGAAAGTGAATAATATAAAGTTTTTTTTTTTAAAAAAAAAAATTTTATGCATAAATTGTTCATGAGGGTATATTGGTCCAATTTATTAAATTGTAAAGTTTAAAAAGTCTCCTAAACGGTCAAAGGGTAACTTGGTCAATTTCTCATGTAAAGGAGTGTCTTGGTCCATTTTTGAACTTTTACGGGATGTCTTTGTCCAAAAAACTAGTAAGGACTTGTTTGGGGGATGCTCCATCTTGTTCTATGCCCTTCCTTACAGTGCAAATGGACACTATTGAGGACACCAACTTGTTTGGTATGGGCTGTATTGTGTCCAACAGTGCTAGAACAATTTCCGTTTTTGGGCCAATTTTCGGAACAAAAAAATCATGTTCCAAAGTGTTCCCAAATTTCAGCCGGGCCACTATTCATTGTAGAAAAGAGAACAACAGCCCAAAGTGTAGGAATTCTGAGAACACATATTTAAGAATCGATGGAACATTGCCCTAATTGTGAACTTGCCTCCATCTCTATCTCGTTCTCAACTATGAACTTGCCCTAATTTCTGAAAAAACATTCTGACTTGCTCCCCCTCTCTCTCTCTGCAACTGCAAGCTACAAAATCTACAAGAATCAGAAGTTCGAAACCCACCTCCATCTCTATTCTCGTTTTCAATTATGAAGTTGCCATATCTCTCTCTGCAATTGCAAACTACAAAATCTAGCAGATCTGTGAACTTGCCCCCCCCCCTCTCTCTCCTTCAAGAACTATCTTAGCTCTGCGTTTTCCGGCGAACCCCACCTCTGCGTTTTCCAGCGAACACAAAGCTTCGGCGCGTAAATCTGTCACTCCGGCGAGCTCTTGTGCGCTCTCGTCTGCTGATTCTGACGAACCCCACATCTGCGTTTTTTTAAATGAATTTTTGTTTGATCTAAATTCTCAAATCTCTTGCAATTTTTCCACCTGCTATATATATATATATATATATATATATATATATTATCTGAAATTTAAAAAAAATTGTTAGATAATATAATATAACATATGATAAAATTTGTTTTTCTATATATATATATATATATCAAAATAGCTTGAATCCTCATTTTTTATATTTGTCTATCTGAAATTTAAAAAATTTAAATTTAAATGGAGAAAGAAAATAATTGTGACTTATTATTAGATAATATAATATATGATTAAATTTGTTTTTCTATTTTTAGTAAAAAGGTATTGAAGAAGCAAATTTTTTATTTACAGATTTTTATTGATAATTTTTTAATAAAAAAAACCCAACACTCGTACTAATTTCATGCAATGAAATTTATTAGTAATATTTACAGTTTTTATTGGCAATTTTTTAACAAAGGAAACCCAATAATTTTTTTTGGTAACTTATAGTTTTGGAATTTGTCACTTAAAAAAAAAAATATTTCATGATTTTTTTTAGTGATTTTTGTTACACTTTTATTTTTCCAAACATGTTTTGTTCTCATATTTCTTAGAACAATATACATTACCACGTTTTTGTTCCAAAATTCTTAAAGTTCTCATTTCAGAACATTACACTACAAAACACTTGTTCTATTCTAGATTAGAGCAGTACATTACATCACACTATACTTTTTAAACGGGTCCTAAATTTTTTCTTAATGTCTTTTTATTAAATTTCAAAGGGTGTGACTATATTTTGTCCAAAGAAATAATAAAGAAACAAAAGGATTAATCTTGAAGATTACACCTACGTCTCTGATAACTTGTCAAAGAAGAGAGCAGGAATAGCTTTAATGGTGGATGATACTTGCTGCAGGTTGCAACACAACTCAAGTTGGACATCACATCGACATCACATCATGTTTTTTTTTTTTTTTTTTTTCTTGGACATCACATCTTGTTAAATCAGTACTGTTTCACTGATGATGCAGTACACTGCAGCTCACATGATCAATATTCGCATTTTTATGTGCATTGGTGCATGTGTCTAGCCTGGTCCAGATCATTGAGGATTATTATTACGGGTTTTGAAATTATCATATGTGGTCGAAACTAAAATGGGATCAAATATATTTAGAAATAATTTTAAAATTAAATATTAAAGGAGAGATGAGCGTTATAGAATAAATAAAAAATGAAATTCATGTGTCCAAAGGGGCTTAATACCGATTAAAATTAACTAGAGAATATTGTAAGGAAAATTTAATCTTGAATCATTTGTTGTCAAAAACTTGTTTATTTTGAACTTCGGGGCCGAGAGATTAAGGACTCGAACGTGTGTAATTTGCATGTAATTGTTTATATTCAAAATTTATTTTCATAAAGGGCAATGATTTGAAGAGTTCCCGTTTTCAAAAAAAAAAAAAAAAAAAAAAAAATTCCTAATATCCCCTAATTTAATTTGATTAGGGTCTAACCATAACATATTTTGTTGTGTATAACCACGAGGGAGAAAACAACGAGACACACAGAAACAGGAGGAAGAGGAGAGGTTTTTGGATAGTTTTTCCATTTATGTAAGAAATATAATTATCTCTCTCATCTTCCTAATATCCCCTAATTTAGGATAGAAATAAAATGTTTATTTGGCTACTTTCTTTATCTCTCTATCTTTTCTCTTTTTCTTTTCTATCAAACGGGGTACTACATTGGATACCCCCAGTAATTTCTCCACTAACCATTGGAGCACTGACACTTATCTGCATAGTAAAGCTTTTCTTCACGTTATTTATCATTCCATTGCAGGAACTTTTTAAACCCTAAAATTGCCACTCAAGTATCATCTCTCTCTCTCAACAATAAAGGTGTGAAAAAATTTGTCTTTGTTTTTATATATTCATTTCCATATGTTTTCATGTTGCAACATTATCTGTTTATCTGTGTTTATTTATATACGCGTTTCATTGATTCTAGTGAACTAAAATCATCAGTTAACCTTTGTTGTCGTTACATAGATAAATTATGGTCTAATTTGTTGATACAAAGCAATTTCACTTGCTTTTTGTGATTTTATGTGTGTGTGTGTGTGTGTTCACTCATGAGAAAGCTTGTGAATATTCTCAACAATTCATAGTCTTTATAGAATATAAGTTATTATTATTATTTATTTATGTTGTAGGATCTCATATAGTATCCTGGATTTATGCAAGTTAAAATTTTTAATAAAATTTATGATCACAAAATGATAAGTTCATGACTTTATTTATATAAAACATTTTATGAATAAAATATTATGGTGTGCTGTTTTAGTTAGTTCTATATTTTTTTAATAAAAAAATTAACGGTAACTTGTTTATTTTTGTGAGGGATAATGTGCTCGAAAATTATTAGGGAGAACTTTGGAGGGTTATGCCTTTCAAATACTTGTCTTAATTCCTTAATATTTTTTTTCATGAGATTTAGGTTTTCTCTTGTTTATTTTTATTGTTTCATGAATTTTAGCTTTTTCTCTTATTTATATTTTTAGAAATATAAATGCCCAAATAATTTTCATTATTTATTTTCCTTTTTTTTTTTAAGGTATATTTATTTTCATTTTGTATGTGCAAAAAGATAGATAATGAAGTAAGTAATAAAAGCATTTTTATAGGGGAGGTAAGGGAAGAGAAATTACATATTATAACAAGTTGATTTAGCGAGGTTCGAAAACTCTTACTCCTTGACTTAAGAGACTTTTCCAAATCCACTAAGGCTTCTCTTTTGTGGTGGAGAGCAAACTCTTCCAATATTGAAGTGAACAGTAAGAGAAATTCCTTTGTTTGGGTCACACCAACCCTTTGTAGTAAATGTACGATGAGTTTAATACAAGTGATACCCCTCAAAGATTGATTCGCAATAAATGAATCAAGTTGAAGCTTAAGTCTATGAAAAAATTGAATGAGAGAATGAAAATGTAATCAATGCTCAAGCTCTTAAGTGCTTTTAAATGCTCTCTCAAAGTTGTGTGTAATGCTCGTCAATGTCCCATATATTCATAGAGGGAAATCTGATCAATATAGTTGTTGGAGGGTTGTTGGGGAGCATTAAATGCAATTATAGCTTTTGAATTTGCATCTGACGCTATTCAGTCGGTTGATAGAACTATCAGTCGGCTGATAGCTCTAAACTGGTCGACCGATATAACTATTAGTTGGCTAGTTTGAACCCCCAGCTTGCAAAGCTACTGTCTAGATACCGGTCAACCGATATCTTCATTTGGTCGATACAACACTAAGTTGTATATTGAACACCTCTAAGGGTGTCTTTGGCCTTGCATTCACTTTATATCAAGTATGATTGCTTCTTTGAAGTCCATATCTAAATTGTTTAAAGGATCAAGTATGAAAATATAAATGTGTATATGCATGATTCTATAGAGATGAGCTTCAAATCAATTCATAAACACTTTAATAATAATTTCTAAGCACTTACCACCCTAATGACTCCTTTCTTCAAGTTTTGGTGTTGATCATTGAGGCTTAGGCTTTTCTTTGAGTTTTGAAGTTCATTCTTGGCCTTTGAGGTCTAAGTCAACTTTGGTGCTTCTAGCTTTGACTTTTGGTCTTTTTAGATTATTTCCATGTCCATAGCTTCACCTTTTGATCTTCTTTGCTTCGTTGAGGTTAATCTTGGAGATATGATATTTCTAGCATAAAAACTCAAATGTAGACATTAGTCCTTAAACACCATTAATGGTTTGTAATTATCAAAATTACTAAATTGTCCTTAGATTAAAACCTTTGAGTTAACTGTTTCTTTTATAGTAGTATTTTGAAGTTTTGGATATATAGACTGGATATTTAATGTAATTTTCTTTATATATATTTTTTCTTCTAAATTTTATTGGAATTCATATAAGTAATACAAAAATAAGTTTTAAACCGATCTCCCAAACTGATATGGATATTCGAGGGATTTTTTAATCAGCTACATAAATCGCTTTGAAAAATAGGTCTAAATGACATTGTTCTATGTAATAAGTTGACTAATAGTTGAGAAACACTAAAATTTTTTTACAGTCACCATTGCTTGTGCAATGGTTGAAATAGGAGAACATTATTAAAGAATACACCTTCTTTTCGTATTTTTGTTAGGGGAATTTGACGCCACTAATTCCTTTAGGACCTTGCCGTCAATACGCACAATAACATGCACAGAAACACAAGACAAGAATTATACGTGGTTCAGCCAATTTTGCCTATGTCCATGGCACACATCCAAAATTCACTATAGCTGTTGAGTAATTACATAATGTGGATCGGCAGATCCCACACACACATACACTGTGTATCTCTCTTTCACTCCTAAAAAATACACTCTGCGTTTTCTTGCTTACTATCTGAAAAATACTCACACAGTATTTCTCTCCCCTTTTTTTTTTTTTTTCCTCTCTCTCTTATCTCTCACTTTGCTCTGCTCTAATTTGAGCTACTGAGCTTTGTTTCTTCTTTGTGCTCTCCACACAACTCTTCTTCTTGGTGTGTTGTGTGTTTTGTGATGCCTTCCATGCTTCTCCTTTCATAGGAGAAGTAAGCCTTCCAATGTCAATGGTAGGTGCATCAATATTTGACTTTTTAAGTGTGAAACAAACAAATGGGTAGGTGGTGCTTCCATTTAAGACTAAAGTTTGGCACCCACCATTTTTAACCTTCTTGATTAGGAGTCTACGTTGAATGTGAGTCATTATTCTAACAATCTCCCACTTGGCGAACTTTGCAAAAGTAATTCAACTTTAGTGAGAACGGTGCGCTTATTCCTATCTTCAAGTTAGAAGGCCGACTGAAGTTGAGCACAACTTCAGTTTCTCTGTAGTGACTGTCTTGGTTAACAAACCGGTCGGATTCTTGGTGCCAAGTATTTTCTCAAGTGTCAACACCCCATTTTCCAATAAAGATTTGATGAAGTGATACCGAAGTCCTATATGCTTGGTTCTCGAATGAAATGCTGAATTATTTGCCAGATGTATAGCACTCTGACTATCACTGTGCAAAACATTCATCTGCTCGAATCCCAACTCTGCCAACAATCCCTGTAACCAGATCATCTCTTTACTAGCCTCTATCACAGCAACATACTCTGCTTCTGTAGTAGATAACGTTACAATCTTCTGTATCAGTGAAACCTAACTAATTGCAGTCATACCTACCGTGAAAACATACCTGGGAGTACTTCTTCTGTGATCTACTTCACCAGCAAAGTCTGAATCTACATAACCCTGTAGTTTCACCTCGCCCTTTTTGAAAGATAGACATTTGTCTGTGGTACCCCGTAGATATTTCAAAATCCACTTCAATGTTTCCCAGTGTACTTTCCTGGATTCGTCATGAATCTGCTTACAGCTCTCACTGCATATGCAATGTCTGGTCTTGTGCAAACCATGGCATACATTAAATTCCAATGGCCGAGGCATATGGAATCTTAGCCATGAAGTTCCTCTCATCGTCTGTCTTTGGACATTGATCTTGGGATAATCGAAAGTGATTAACTAAGGGTGAACTCACCGCCTTAGCATTACTCATGTTGAACCTCTTCACAATCTATTTAATGTACTCAGCCTGAGACAACTGCAAAGTACCTTTCTGCTTGTCTCTGTTAATCCTCATCCCAAGAATCTGCTTCGCTGCACCAAGACCTTTCATTTTGAACTCATTCAACAGCTGCTTCTTCAACTTGCTGATTTCTTCAAAATCAGAACCAGATACTAACATGTCGTCAACATAAAGTAGGAGGATGATGTAACTCATCTCAAACCTCTTGAAGTAGCAGCAATGATCAGCGTTGCATTTGTTGTAGCCATGTCTTCGCATAAACCCATCAAATTTCTTGTACCACTGCCTCGGGGCTTGTTTCAAACCGTACAAGCTTTTCTTCAACTTCATACAAGTTTCTCCTTTCCTTTGACTGAGAAACCCTCCAGTTGTTGTATGTAAATCTTCTCCTCTAGGTCTCCATGGAGGAAAGCAGTTTTGACATCTAACTGCTCTAGGTGCAAACCCTCTACTGCAACAATGCTGAGAACTGACCGAATGGTAGTCAGTTTCACAACTGGTGAAAAAATGTCGGTGTAGTCAATCCCTTCCTTCTGCTAAAAGCCTTTGACCACAAATCTTGCCTTATATCTCTTGGAACCATCATGTTCCTCTTTGACCCTGGACACCCACTTGTTGTGAATAACTTTCTTTCCTGTTGGTAACTTGGCAAGTTCCCATGTTTTGTTGGAGATAAGGGATTTCGTCTCATCTTCCATTGCAAGCTCCCACTTGCTAGCATCTTCAACCTGACATGCTTCAGTATATCCTTCAGGCTCACCACCATCTGTGAGCAACATATAATCCAAATACTTTTGATTTGGAACAGGAATTTGTAGGGACTTCCGAAGTTTGGGTATTGGAGCGCGATGTACTCTGATCAATGAGTTTCTGCTTTGAACTCTCACCCATCTGATCCTCATCATCTTCTAAATCATCATCTAACTTGACATACTCAGGGCTATTCTGTACAGGACTAGTTGACTGTGCGGCATCTCTATCCTTGTACATTACTTTCTCATTGAAAATCACGTCTCTACTTCTGATGATTTTCTTGTTCTGGTGATCCCATAGTCGATAACCAAGTTCATCTCTACCATAACCAATGAAGATGCATTTTAGTGACTTGGGATCGACCTTTCCCCTAGCATGGTCACTAATATGCACATATGCAATACAACCAAAAACTTTTAACCATGAAATATTTACCTTCTTGCTGCTCCATACCTCATCTGGTATCCAAAGCTCCAACGGCACCAACGATCTGTGATTAATCAGGTAGGCTGCTGTGTTGACTGTTTCTGCCCAGAACTGCTTGGGTAGACCCGCATGTATGCGCATGCTTCTGGCTTTCTCCATCAATGTTCATTTCATCCGTTTTGCCATCCTGTTCTGTTGTGGGGTTCCTTGCACAGTTCTCTCCAATCAGATTCCATTCTCAAAACAAAATTTCTTGAACCCATTGTCTTTATACTCTCCACCGTTGTCTGATCTCAACCTCTTGATCTTCAAACCTGTCTCATTCTCCATGGCCTTCCAATTCTTGAACACCTCAAACACTTTAGATTTGTACTTCAAGAAATAAACCCATACCTTCCTCGTGTGATCATCAATGAAAGTCACGTAGTATGATTTTCCGCCAATGGATGAGACTGTTGCTGCCCCCAGACATTTGTGTGAACTAGCTCAAGCTTCTCCTTCCTGAGAGTTTGGCCACTCCTTTTGAAACTAACCCTCTTCTGCTTGCCCATCACGCAACTCTCGCAGAAGTCAATATCAATCTTCCGTATGCCTGGTAGTTTCCCTTTTGAGTGCATGATCTTGAGCCCCTTTTCACTTATTTGACCTAGCCTCTAGTGCCAAAGGTTGTGATCCTCTTTGCTTTCTGCAACTGCTATTGACCCATAAGCAGTGGTGGTTGTGTAGAGAGTGTCAGCCTTCTTACCACGTGCAATGGTTATAGCGCCTATGGAAACCTTCCATGAGTCTCCATTGAAGGTTGTAATGAAACCTTCTTCTGACAGTTGGCTCACAGAAATTAGATTCTTTCTCGAGTTAGGGATGTGTCTCACATCCTTTAACTTCCATACAGATCCATTCAGCTTGATCTGTATTTCACCCTTGCCGACGATACTGCAGGTTTGATCATTCCTAAGATGCACCTTTCCTAGGTTACCCGGTACATAGCTCTCAAAGAGCTCTCGACTTGAGCTTGCATGAAATGATGCTTTAGAATCTAGAACCCATGATTCCGCCTTGCTCTCCAAAGAGCATATCAGCGCATCGTCTGATTCTTCTGAGACCACGTTCGCCTCTGTCTTGTTCTCCTTTTCTTTCTTCGGAGATCTGCACTGGTTTTTGTAATGATCAGTTTTGCCACAATTCCAACACTCAACATCATTGTGGTCTGTGGAATTCTTGGCATTTTGAGTGTTGTGATCTTCCATTCCTCGATTTGGATCTACTTCTGTACTTATTCCCGCTGCCTTTCTTCTTGTTTGAACTTCTGCTTCAGCAGTCAACATTTAAGGCTGAGCCACTGGTGGAGACTCCTATTGTTTGCCTTCTGATCTCCTCAGTTAGAATCATGCTTACAACATCGTCAAACTTTAACTCAGTCTTCCTTGCAGAGCTATTGATCGCCGTAATTGTGCCACTCCAACTATCGGGTAATTGCCCAAGAATTAGTAGTACTTGGATCTCGTCTTTGAAGTCAATTTCAACATATTCTAATTGGCTAACAATCCCGTTGAATACATTTAGATGCTCGTTGAATCTTCCACCTTCAACCATTTTCATGTTGAACAATTTCTTAATCAAGTGCACCTTCTTTGCTGCAGATGGCTATTCATACATACTCGAAAAGGCTGCTATGAGAGACTTCGTCGTCTTCTCATTCTTTATGTTAAAGGCAACTGATTTTGACAACATCAATCTGATGGTGCTAAGAGCCTTTCGATCAAGCAATTTCCATTCTTCATCTTTTGTCTCCTCCGGCTTATCCCCCAGAGGTTGATAAAGATTTTTCTGGAACAAGTAATCTTCTACTTGCATCTTCCAGAATCCGAAGTTTGTATCGTCAAACTTCTCGATCGTAGATGATGATTTATCTTCTGACGCCATTGCTCCCACTCGAACGAACAATTTTGTGAATAGTACCGTATACTGGAACAGTACTGTATTCTGCCACAGTGACTGTATTTGGGAACAGTTGCATATTCTACTACAGTTCTGTACACTGCTACAGTGTCTTCGGTAGAACACTATTTGCACAGTACTTCAATAGTACTTGCACAGTGCAATGACAGCGACTTGGGCTCTGATACCAATTGTTAGGGGGAATTAGACGCCACTAATTCCTTTAGGACCCTGCCGTTAATACGCACAATAACATGCACAGAAACATAAGACAAGAATGATACGTGGTTCGGCCAATTTTGCCTACGTCCACGGCGCACACCAGAAATTCACTATATCTGTCGAGTAATTACAAGCTGTGGATCAACAGATCCCACACACACATACACCGTGTATCTCTCTTTCACTCCTGAAAAATACACTGTGTTTTCTTATTTACTCTCTGAAAAATATTCACATTGTATTTCTCTCCTTTTTTTTTTTTTTCCTCTCTTATCTCTCACTCTGCTCTAATTTGAGCTACTGAGCTTTGTTTCTTATCTGTGCTCTCCACACAACTCTTCTTCTTGGTGTGTTGTGTGTTTTGTGATGCCTTCCATGCTTCTCCTTTTATAGGAGAAGTAAGCCTTCCAATGTCAATGGAAGATGCATCAATATTTGACTTTCCAAGTGTGAAACAAACAAATGGGTAGGTGGTGCTTTCATTTAAGACTAAAGTTTGGCATCCACCATTTTTGACCTTCTTGATTAGGAGTCTATGTTGAATGTGAGCCATTATTCTAACAATTTTTCCCCCCACCCTATCACCGTGCATGGTTGGAACTAATATTAAGTGGATTTGTTTATTAAGTAATTGTGTATCGGAAGTTTTGGTTTGCTCAAACCAGTTTGAACAAAGTGTGTTTTTATTTGTTTTGGTGGTTCGACGACATTGGAATTTTATTTTATTTTTATCAGGTTGGTCTTGATCTGCCCATCCCATGCGTAAGGAACCATAAAACAAGTTCATATATTCCTTAGCTTTTTTGTTTGCTAAAATCTAGCTTCTCTGATTCTTAAAGAGAAACATATAAATTCTAAACAGTGTATCCGTCATGGTTACTTCCAATTGTCAGATCCTGCTATAATTGCTCCTGGACACTCTTGACATGATATTGGGGCTTTTTATTTTTATGTACTGCAAAATCGTGTTTCATATATGCCAATGCTATTTTATGATTGGCGATGAATGTAATTTTTTGCTTTACTCTGTCCTTAATGATAGTAATTCACATTGAAAGATGATGATTCTTATGTTTTAAGTGCATGCTGATATATGAATTTGAAGAAAGACTGCTAATTATTTCATCTGTTCTAGTAATCCTGTTCCTTGTAATCCGCTTTGATAATTGCAAATAATTAGGAGAGCACCTTGATCTTTTCCTTGTGGCAAGGTTTGATTCGAATATAAAATGAAAGTCCAGTGTTGATCTTTCTGCAAATATATACTGTTTATAGAGTTTGTTATTTATCTATTGCTTTAATGTTATTAATTCATTATGCTTTTGTGTTATTTTTTATATCATAGTCATGTCCCTTTACCTAAGAGGGCTTCACAGGTAGTTACATGAATGGAGCTAGTCACTACCTCAAAAACTTGACTGACAAGGTCAGTCTCCTTATGTCCCATAATCGACTTAATGTTCTGTTCAACCCCGGAATTTATTCATTTATTAACAAACCAGTAAAAAGTGGTCGATTGTGAGAAAATATATACTTCCACCTTATCTTTGTCTTAGGTGTTAACACGACATCGCTTTTTCACTTTCTTCTAATTTCAAAGCACAGTATTTTTATGCTTGGATGAATGGCAGAGCAGTATTCATATGAAAAATGATTTTGTGACGTGATGACTGGGCATTTAAGATTCCTTGTTAGCTCAATTTTATCTATTCCTTGTTTTGCTGAAATTCTCGAAGTAACCTCAGAACTTTTTAATTCTTTTGCATTGTAAATCTGTGTTAATAAATTCTATTTGTGTGGGTACTCTCCTTTCTGGCAGAGCATTTTCAAATGGAGCATGGATGGGACTCAGACTGTGGGGAGCAGGGATACGACTCGGACTGTGGGGAGCAGGGATATGACTCGGACTCTGGGGAGCAGGGATGTGGCTCTGACGCTGGTGAGCAGGGATTTGGCTCGGACTCGGACTCTGGGGAGCAGGGATTCGACTCGGACTCTGGGGAGCAGGGATATGACTCGGACTCTGGGGAGCAGGGATGTGGCTCTGACGCTGGTGAGCAGGGATTTGGCTCGGACTCGGACTCTGGGGAGAAGGGATATGGCAATTATGTTCCAAATAATAATGGCAATAATTTGGAGGTTGATAAACCCGAGAAGGGGGTCCCCAGTACCTACAAGGGGAATCAATTCACTACTAATAATTCACAATCCTATGAAAGGACTTCCAGGATGATCCGCCAAGAGAAGGAGAGTGGCAGCTATGAACGCTATACCATGAAGGAGAAGGTCTCGTTGGAGGAGCCACACAGGGAGAGAGGCAAAGGACAAGTTGGTGTCAGGGATGAGTATACGAGGAGAGAAACCACCAAGATTGGTAACAAAAGTGGTTACACTGAGTACCACAAAGAAGAGAGATTTCGTGATGTCAGTTATGGTAAGAACAGTAGCAGTGTGGGAAATGGCGGCAGCAAACGTATAAACTAGTAGTAGTAGTAGTAGAGTTGGTTCCCACTCCACTTGTGGTTATCTCCCTCAGGACTAGAGCAGTATTTTGGATTTGATGTCCTTTTGTTTTAGGTTCTTATGTTTGCTTCCTTGGTGCTTTGTATTAGTAGTAGTACTAAGTTTAATGACTTGTTTGTTGTTTTGGTTCTGGCCCTGAAGTCATATGTTTTGGTTTTGATGATTGGAAGTCATTGGGCTAATGCGTATGGTACAAACTATTACCTACTTGTTTGGTAGTAGTAAGTTTAATGACTTGCTCTTGTTTTGATTCTGGTCTGGAATTCACATTTTGCTTATTTTGATGACTGGAAGTCATTGGTCTTGTATAGGGGTGGCATGGCAATGGTGTGGGTTTGGGTGGATTTTGGGCTAATCATGAATGGGTTAGTAACCCATTATCAACCCATCAATAGGGGGTTCATAAGCGGATTGGACATCAATTAGTCTAGACCCCACATATAACCCATAGACCCGTTAACATAATTTATTATTGTTAGCTCACAAAATTATGCTTGTATATTACTTTTTTTAATATATGAATTTATATTTTAATCTACTCACAAAATTATTCTGCTATGATTGTTTTTTTATTATTCACAGTAATTATTATTATTGTTTTTTTCGGAACTGATTTCTTGAGGGAAATGTATAATTGAAGTTTATATGTTATTTTACTATAGAATAATCCTAACAGAAGCCTCAAATTTCATCTTTGGTAATAAAGAAGTAATATATAACAATTCAGATTTTAAAAGTTCAATTAGTAAGTAATTTTTTCCCCCCAAAAGTAGACAAATATGTGCTCTATATCTTGTAGTGTATTGACTTAATAATTGGCTAATCTGCTCATGGTTATTCAACTCTACTTTGACAATTTTATGTGGGTCATTTTTTGTTCACTTAATTAATTTTCCAAGCCCTATTATTATTATTATTTTTATCCACCAAGCTAGTGAGAAATGAAAGTAGACAGAAAATGAGAGGAGAGTGAGAGAGAGACGAGATAAATGAATAAAAAGAAACGAGAAGCGAGAGAGATAAAATAAAATAAAATAATTAATTTTGAAAAATATCACGTGTGGTGGGTTAAGTGGGTTATACCAAACCATTAATTACTCTTTCAACCAAATTAGTAACCCCAATGCCAAATAATTGTTGGGCAGATTTTTGGGTTTGGGTATATTTTGCCACCCATAGTCTCGTACGTATAGCACAAATTTCACGTGTTGGTGACAGTCTCATATGCTCTCCAGACCTGCCAATATATATATATATATATATATATATATATATATATATATATATATGATCTCAGAATCTATGTATTTGAAACGTTTTCCAATAGACTATGGAACAATAGCATCTCGCTGAGTGGCTGATAACTACAATCACCCTCCCACCCCATACAACAACCACCTACAACAGCTGAATTGAATGTAAGTCAGGTTTGATTCTTGGAAGGCATCAAGGCTTAAATATGCAGGCAATGTACTGGTATTTTGGCTTACACAATTTTCAACCCGCAGAAGAACAAACCAAGCTGGATACTGGCCGGCAGTGGTGTTGTGGTATTGAAGGATCTGATTGGTGACTCATGCCAAGTTAGCGTTCCGAAAGGGCATGTTCAACTGTTGAATGATTCGCATTTATCTTATTTCTACCGAGAATTAGGTCTATTTGTTAAATTTCAAGCATTCAATTCGGTTTATAGATTTGAATGTCCTACAGTGGAACTGAGTGCAGCATCCACTTGAATCTTGCTTGGCACAAGCTGTGAGATTAGTGAGCGTTATAGTTTTAAATGATGAAATGGCCTCTATCCTAATGGTATAACCCCTCCCAATCCTCAAACAGGAAGAGTGGAATATATGTCCGTGGGCAAAACTATATGTGAGTATTTACCTAACCAAAAAATAAAATAAAATGGAAGTAAACAAAACAAAATATATAGTTCCCCCCCAAAAATGTTGTGGATGGGGTATCATCACTTTTTTTTTTTTTTCTTTTCCTGAGATCACTGAATTTTGGAAAACTTTATATTTCATATCCTTCCTCATGGAAATATTTATATAAACTTGGTATTTCATAACATTATTATCACAAATTTACAACCCCTCCGGCTCCATATGCCTTCTAATTATGAGCATGAAATATGGTTACACCACTCAAGACTGTTTGTCACTGCAGATTGTATCCTAATACATAATCTTGACACATCCCTTCTGACTGATGAAGAACAGAAGTAGAATCCCAAGAGTTTGAGGAGGCTGATTGCATATTGAAGCCGTTGGACCACCCAAGCGAACCATCCATTTCATTGAACCAATCACAATCAGCTAGCTGATCCTCTCTTGGTTGAAATTCAACTGTTTTGTTGTTGAGAAAGTTGTCAAGTTCAGTTTGGAACGTCGAAACTGGCTGAATTCCTGCATTGTTTTGTTCCGTACCATCTGATTCCGGCACAACAGTTGAGTCTAGCACATTATTTCCGGTGTGGAACGCAATTGCATTGTCTGCTGATGATAAACCATTTAAAGAATCATACTCTTGTTGTAGCCCAATAGAACCATTGGGTGGTTCATAGAAATCAACATTTGGTCCATGTCCAGTTTGAGGACTAGCTTGAACGTGTTGCATCATAGGGTTAGGGCTTTGATGCAAGCATTGGAGGCTCGGAACCATCTTGTCTTGAAGGAGCTGCAACTTGGGCCACAGAGCAGGATTGTTGTAGAAAGAGAGAGGGTTTTGAAGGCTCTGAAGCTGCATGTGAAGTTGAAGTCTTTCGATGGCGGAGTTGCTCAAGGCCTGCACCTGGGTGCCATCTTCTGTGCCATTTGTATCTTTCTGGTCCTTACTTGCAGCCGAAAGGCGATTGATTTGGGACTGTTTGCGCCTTCCAAGCAACTTCTTCTTCAGTTTGGTGTTCCAGTAATTCTTTATGTCATTATCTGTTCTTCCAGGCAATTGGGCTGCAATTATGGACCACCTGATCATAGAACATGAAATTTGCACCAAATCAGCCTCTACCAGGAAATATGAAACAAGTTCATAAAAAAATGTAACAGAAGAGGAATTTAAACTGAACCTATGTGATTCTTAAACAAAAGCATCATAGACAAACAAGAAGGACAAACAACTAAGAACGAGAGAGAAAGAGAGATCGACCTGCTGCCAATACTTATATAGAGGCTGCAGATGATGTTGTCTTCTTCTTCGGAGAATCCACCATGCTTGATGTTGGGTCGCAAGTAATTCAACCATCTTAATCTACAACTCTTTCCACATCTCTTAAGCCCTGTGAAATAATTCCCTTTTATCAGTCAAAACTCATCATTTTCAAATTATAAGTGTGTTTGTGTGTGAGAGAGAGAGAGGGGTGCATACCAATCTTTTGGGGAAGAGCAATCCAGTTGCCACCAGTACCATATTTTTCAATATAAGCTTTGAGCTTTTCATCTTCTTCAGGAGACCACGGACCTCTCTTCACGTTAGCTTTGTCACAGCATGGAGCTCTACCCATTATTTCTGTCAATGCGATGTATCTTTCTTCTCTCTTTTATGTTTCTGTAACCAAATTGAAAACTTAATGTGATTGTTGGGGAAGAATGTTTAAGGGAAGACCAAGCTTTATAGGTTAGAAGATTAGGTGATGTGATGCTTAAGAAAACCAAAAAGGTCTTACGACTCTCTCCGTCATTTCTCACCATTCAACCCCATTTCTCATCTAGCTAGGGTTTCTACTCTCTCCCTCTCTCTCTCTCTCACACACACACACACATTTGGATTAGTTTGCTCATCAATTATTTTGTTGTATATTATATTGTTAGTACGCATATTACCTGAGTCCTGACAAACAACTACATAAAAATTTCTCTTATCCTTCATATTATAATGTAAAACTCTTTCGCTTTGCTTATTATAGATGCAATGCTACTGGTAATATAGAAATAAACATCTGTCCTCTTAGTTCGTGGTCAATCTCCTCCAAAAATTCAATTATTGAGCTTGTTATTTGTAAGATGATACTTGTCATGAAGTTATTACTTTTTTTTTGAAAGATAAATTCAATTTATTAATGTAGAGAAACTTATCATGAAGTTAGCCCTTTAAATTATTTACCCAAAAGAGAAAAGAAAAAGATGATACTTATCATAAAATGTATTTTCATGATACATTAAATAAAAAGAGGTTCTATGTATTTTTACTTTACTGACACATAATGATTAAATGTCATAAACAATAAGGATAGAAAGTATACTAATTGAAATAATTAGGGTTTCCACCAAATTTTACATGATTTTAAAGTGTGACTAATTAATCTCAGCACTTAAATTTCAGAAACAGCTATAATTTAAGTTAGTTAGTGAAGGAGCCCAATAATGTGTCAAGTATATATATATATACTTACTACTCACAAAATTTAAGCAGTGTGATAAAATGATTTGAGATGTCTAGCAGTACTCTTGTTTTATATATATAATTGTTAAGTTGTGTAGCTAGGAGAAAAATAAAAATTAAAGACTAATCTGGACCTTGGAATTTGTGCGAAATTTATATTAACCAGAAGGAGGATTAACATAATGAATAACCAACGTAATTTAAATAGTCGAGCAAAAAAGCAAAAAAAAAAATAATAATAATAAAAAAGAGGTAATTTGAAGACTTGTAGTGTAGTTAGTCATGTGTACCGTTGTATAGCTTCTAAATAGGGATCTAGAAGAACTTGGATATTGATCTGATTTAGAAGAAAATGGTAAAACAAAAATTGTTTGGGTCGGTATGCCCCAAGTAATCTTGTAATGAATCTTTTATTTATTTGCATACTTACTTACCAGGAAAAAAAATGAGTAAATCTTCTAATGATGAGACATCTAAAACAAGAAAAATTTTCATTATACAGTTTGTAAAGCAAAAAATAATAATAATTTTATTGGGAGTGTCTTAGACCATTTCTTATTTTTCATTGTTTAGCTCCAAACCGCAATATGCCACAAATATTTCAATGTCTTTTCATTTTGTTCTTTAATTCCATTGAGAACCCGAAGGAGAAGAAACTAGGAATTGAAATTTTTTTTTTTTTTTTTCTTTTTCTTTTCCCATTAATTGGCATCTAGAAAAATAAAACTAATTTGACACCACTATAGTATAATATGAAGTTAGTGAATTTGGATTGATCATATTCGTGTTTGTCATAATCGCGCCAACCTATTTAATCCGTTTAAGTGGTCATAATACGATGATAGTGAATTTGAGTTTATCATATTTAAGTGTGTGTTATCACGTCAACCTATTTAAGTAATCCTCCCATGTTCATGCTAAGTCAATTCGATTAACACCTAAGACTTAGGAGTTCAGACCCAAAACAACTAGGATAAAGGTAGATCAATAATATAAATATTGTATTTCGTAAATCTATATATATATATATCTTTAATTGTACTGTCCAAATTATTCTAATTTTTATGGTTTTTATTTTTTATTATATTTATATTTTATGCTTAAATTAATAAATGGTTTATATGACCCCATTTAAGTGAAACAGTTAAACAAGTGATTAAATGGGTCGTACTACCCGTTTATTAAATGGGAATAAATACACAAGTCGTATCATGTTACTCATTTATTAAACGGGTTATGTATGTTTGTGCAGAGGATTCTTACTCGATTAATAAACAGGTCGTATTTGAATTGACTCATTTAACAAAATATTCATAGATTAACACAACATAATTATGACCTTGTCAATCCTACAAAACATAAACATCATTAAATCATAATACAATTTTTTGGTCTCTTAAATTTTATAAGTTTATTAGTCTTAGTAGAATATCTTAAACAAGGATATGCCACTAAGCCGCTCGAATTGGTATACATTTCAAATTTCACCTCTATAATTTTTTTACATTTTTTTGGATAAAAAATAAATGAATTGTCTAAGCCAATAGTAAAAAATGTGTTAATTTAACCTATCTAAGACTTTATTGCGTATGTGTTTGTTGGTCCAAGTAAATTTCCTATCAACTCATGAAGTTGATATAATCACGGCATCATGGATATTTTATTACTAAAGCAGTACTATTAATGACTATTCAAAACCCTAATTGCAAGCCAAGTTGTCAAGACTTTAATATTAAAAATATAATGTACTAAGGTAATATTTAAAGAATAAAAGAAGAAGAAAACAAATAGGATGGGCCTCAAGAATTCAAAGATTTTTTAGAGAGTAGCAACACCCCATTGACCTCGGTTTGCTAGCATAATAATATTTTAAGCAATTTGATATTGAAGCAGAAAGAAGGAAGAGGCCCAGAACCACACTATCCAGAGTAATAACAAGAAGAAAAGTATCGAAGATCAAAAGCTACGTACTCACTCCCACAAAAAAAAAATATATATATTATTTTAATATATATCATTCAAATGGACAGAGATTTTTGGGATGAAGAGGACATGCTTCTGCTTGTCTTTCTCGAAACCCTAGAATCTCTCTCTCCATTGACACTGCATTTCATGCATCATCAACAACACCAACATCAAGACTTTTAAAGGAGAGCTGGTGAGTTAAAGCTAGCTTTTCTTAGATAAGAAGATAAACTTGAGCTACTACTACTTATTGGCTTGCTAAATACCAAAATAATATGGAATGATTGGTGCATCCTAACCTAATTGACTTAATTCCCAACACTAAACTACTCTCTCTCTCTCTCTCTCTCTCTCTCTCTCTCCATTCATACAAAAATTATTTGACTTTTTGTTGCCAAATTGTCTTCCTGCTTAGTTCAATCACAGATTCACAATATCCATAAAACATGTATTGGTTTGGAGTGTTTTAGGGCAGGTTTTATGATTCTATTCACGTACTCTATTATATTTGAAATATATAATTATATTCTAATCTATGTGTTTGATGTACTGGATAGACGCTCCACAATTGGATCTGCATCAAACGGGTAAAAACTCCTTCAACTATGCACCTTGGCTATGGAAAATAGGTATAAATGGCATTATTCTGAGATGAATGGTACTGCATGAACTAAAATTAGTTTTTAAAGAATTAATATCATTTTCAAAAAAATTGCAAGTGAATTATTTTTGAGAATAACAATTAAAAATTTATCAGGCAGCAAAAAGAAAATAAAGACAGAAGAACTTGTTAAAATGTCTAATGAAAGGATACTAGGCACTTTATTTTTGGGAAAACTGGACTCCTCTTAATTTTTAACACAATTTCTAAGTATATATACTCTTCAATGAAGAGCCAAGACTCAATATGGTTTTTTCCAGGTTACGAAAGAGATTTTAGGCTCCGTTTGTTTAGACGTAAAATATTTTTTTTAAAATATATATTTTTTTATTTTATGATATTTGGTTGTCATAAAATATTTACGAATAAAAAAATATTAAAATTTAACAAAAATAACTTATCTATAAATTTTCGGCAAATTATTTTACATGTTCCGCCTGATAGATTTGATCTCAACCTCGACATAGACTTTTGTCAAATACCAACAAAGTAAAAATAAAAAAATATTTTACCTGAAAAAAAAAAAAATTTCAAAAAGAATATTTTACGTCAGAACCTTAAAGTCTAAAATTTTCAGACTAGGTTAGAAATTTACTCTAACAAAACACTTCATAAGATATTACTCAAAATTCATTCGAGTATTGCAAATTCTCAGACGAGTCAAGTTCTGAGAATTGTTTGATTAAAAGCCTTACAAACTTGTGTGATATGAGTTGTCCCCTTAAATATATAATCAAGGATGGTCATAATTTTTAATATTATTTTATACTCCGTAGTAATTAACAGATGTAAACCTCGACGTGATAACCCGGTTAACATAAAAGTTCGTAACATAATTCAGTTGTTTTGATGTTCAATTTATAAAATCATTTTTACTTACCAAATAAATAAATAAATAAATCACACGGCACTCAATAATTTGAGGGTATTTTCCGTTTGTTGACAAAGATGCCTGCTCAAGACTCATATGCACCTTTATATGTATATCTCTATATATGTACCATATAGCAATGTTGCTTGAACGTACCTACTGGGGAAAAAAAAAAGGATGTTGCTTGAATGAAACCGCAATGACGCTTGCTTTCTTTAGCAATATACTGTGTAACAAAATATCAAAAACAACGCGTTATTAATTATATATACATATATATATATATACATATATATACTCTGTATATATCAACCATGCACTTTTTGCAAAATAATCAACGTAGGTGCTACAACGAGACGCTGTAGCTGAGATCACCTTGAGTCCTCCTAATCCTTCAACTCTCAAATTCTATAAAATTGTGATTAGAGCAAAGTCAACCCTTCATTCTAACAAACCCAACACTTTTACCATCCAATACATTGACTTGCCTCCTATCACTCGTATCATGCCATAACATTTTTATATATATATTTATTTAATACTCTAATATTTTGTGATACAAGTATCTAAATTTAAAATAAATTAATATATGATCCGGAATAACATAGTTCCAATTAATTACAAA